ACTCTGGGCTTTTCTTGTTGTTCTTTCTCTTAAGTTTTCAAGCTGTAGAGTTAGAGAGTCTATTAGAAGCTTTTTTGTTTTCTGAGGTAGGCTTGTAGTGCTATGAACTTTCTTCTCGGGACTGCTTTCATTGTGCCCCATAGATCTAGAGTTCTTGTGTGTTCATTTTCATTTGTTTCCAGGAAGTTTTTATTTCTTTCTTGATCTCTTTGATAACCCATTCATTGTTTAAAAACATGCTTTTTAGCATCCATGTGTTTCAATGTTTTTGACTGTTTTTATTGTGGTTGATTTCTAATTTCATTCCATTGTGGTCTGAGAAGATGCTAGATACGATTTCAGTCTTCTTGAACTTGTAGAGACTTGTTTTGTGTCCTAACATGTGGTCTACCTTTGAGAATGTCCCCTGTGCACTTGAAAAGAATGTATATTCTGCAGCTTTGGGGAAGAATGTTCTGTAAATGTCAATTAAATGCATCTGAATTAGTGTGTCATTTAGGTTCACTGTTTCCTTGTGGATTTTTGTCCGGAAGACCTATCCAGTGAAGTCAGTGGGGTGTCAAAGTCCCCTAGTATGACTGTATTGCTGTCGATCTCTCCCTTAAAGTCCTCTAGAAGTTTTTTTTAATAAATTTAGGTGCTCCTATATAGGGTGTATACACGTTTATCAGGGTTATATCCTCTTGTTGCATTGATCTCTTTAGTATTATGTAATGACCTTTCTTGTGTCTTGTTATGGTCTTTATTTTGAAGTTTATTTTGTCCAATATGAGTATTGCTACCCAAGCATTTTTTTCATTTCCATTTGCATGGAAAATTTTTTTCCATCCCTTCACTCTCATCCTGTGTGAGTCTTTTGTTCTGAGGTGGGTCTCTTGTAGACAGCATATATTTGGGTCATGTTTTCTTATCCATTCAGCCACACTATATCTTTTTATTGGGGCATTTCATTCATTTACATTTAAGGTTATTATTGAAAGATACTTATCTACTGCCATTTTATTTCTTTATGCCTGTTTCTCATTCTCTCTATTGGCATGGGTGTT